CACAGGCCGGTCATCCTTCCATCCCACAGAGCCCAAGTCCCTGGTACCGTGTCTCGAGGGTGCAGTCGAGCTTTTGCACAGGGAGGGGTTTCCTTGGGCGTGGAAGGGGCTCCCCGGGCCGTCTGGCTGCTTGTCTGGTTTTTTTATTTCAGCCTGTCTGCGTGGCCGGCAGCGATGTTGTGTTTCCCCATTTCGCAAAGGCTGCAGGACCAGGCAACCGAAGCACGCAGCTTGCTGGGTTTGCGTGTGCATGGCGGCCGACGTTGCATCTGGAAGCAAACAAAATTTTCGCACTTCTCACAAACCTAACTGGAGATGGGTCCGAGGGAACTTGGGAAGGCAACAGCACGCAGGCATCCTGTTGGACGTCGGTTCGGTCGACCTCGGCACGATAAATGCTGCTTCGTGTTCGGCCCTGTGAGAGGGCGAGACTAGACGAGACGCGACGCGGGTACCGGGCAGACTTAGCTGGGGCGGCACGCTGCGCAAGCCGCATTGGCCGTGACGCGAAGCAATCGTTTCCAAGATCCCAACCGTTCTCATAAACGACGGCGATGAGGGAGTGCGCGAGTGGTGACAGTACCGTACACGACAGGTGTCTGGTCGACTGTCGTTGTCGACTGTCGTTGTCTGGTCGCGACGGGACGGCGGAAAAGGCACGGCTTGGTCTGATCCCGAATTTCCGTGTAAATCCAATGTTGCTGCGGCAGGGAGATGAGCAGCCATGGGAATCGTCGATGGCCCGTGGTTCCATTAGAGCAGGGTCCAATGGGAGGATCCAGTTGCTGGGCCCTTGGAGACAGCACCAGACTCAGAGACGAAAAGTAGAGGCCCGGGTCTGTCGAGGAGAGGAGGACCGTAAAAACTGGACCGCGTATTGCAGACCCTGGTGGCTGCACGTAATTACTACACAAGTGGTTGAAGCAAAATGCGCACCGGCAGTGTGCTCTAGGCACGTTTTCTTGTCGCGGTTGTCGACATTTGTCGTCCAGGTCCTCCACTGTTGACTGGGCGGGTCAGCGGGGGAGATAGGCAGCAGGTTGGCATCATATCCTCGCAGACTGCATGGGAGCAATGGCTCAGACGATGGTCCCTGGCCCAAGAGATGGGACGATCGTACCATGATTACATCTCGACTGGAGTCCTTGGGGGTGTTGAAAAAAATCTTTTGACGGGGCTCAGGTAGACGACGTACTCTAGTACAATCCGAGGGTGCACTATCCATAATGGGGCTGTTAGAGGTCGACACTGTATGGGGGCCAAACCTTGAGCAGCCTCGTGGGAGAATTGAAGAGTGGGAGAGCTGTTATTATCGAGATGATCACTGATGGATCATTGAGAGACGGGACCTGAGCAGTGCAGCAGTGTCACAGCCCGCCGGGATTTGTTCCGGCGCCTGAGAGGCCCCATCGCAAGTGCGACCTGAAGCGCGGTCCGGGTCTCGTCAGGGTCTGGAGGCAGGCGGCAGAGACTGAATCAGTTGGTGATTTGCAACGGTGGGCCAGATCGGCGAGGCGGTCATGGTTGAGTGGTGGTTGAGGTGGATGTGTTTGCGTGATGCGGCGGTCGGTCTCGGTGGTTGTTGGTGTTGGTGGTGATGATCTGGGGAAGGTGCTTGCCTCCTGCCTCAGGTCCTGCCTCCGCTGTTGCTTGCTCTTGCCTCCTGCTTGTTGCCGCTTGGGTTCCTGCCATCTGGTCAGGGCAAGAATGAAGCTCTGACCACCCACGATTACTGGGAAGGCACCTTCACAGTGTTCTTTCCATCTGAATAGCATCAATGCCTTACCTACCGCAAGAAGATGTCATGGTTCATTCATCGTTGACAATGAGGTGCGTCCAATGTGCAGCGGCGGATGACCATTAGGCGGACCGGAGCACCCACTTGAGGCACTAAAGTACACTGCATGGACGAGTGGACAGTATCCGAGCTGGAGCTCCAGTTCCTGCCGGGGCCACCCGTGCTGCCAATGAAGCCCTGCAGCAGACATTGGACGACGAGGCCTCGCTAAATCCAGTCCAGCGGGAGGAGGCTACCTAGTACATACTGGACTCAAGAGAACAGAGAGACCACACAGCTTGACAAGCATCAGCACGGCGAGGTTTTCAGGTACAGTGCCCAGTGGGGATGTCTCCCAGTTTGGACAATGCCATATCCGAGCAGCAGCAGCAGCAGCACCAGCACCAGCTAGCTATCAGCAATCCAGAAAGTCCCTCAAGGCACAATCACCCACTCACTGATCCTGACGGCGGGGGACAAGCATCCGCAGCTCTTAAAGTGCGCTCACTGTGAGTGCAAGATACCATGGTACGGGTATGTGACTAAAGAGATGAAGGACATGGCATTGTTGGCCCGGGATTCCATGCCGTCTCCCCACTGTTTCCAATTGCTGCACCTTCCTTCCTGCCTCTGTGTGTACTTTGTAGCAACCAGTGTAATAATACCTTAAGGCAGGAAGGTAGCTGTGGCCTGGCTCGTCCCTTCCTTCCCGTCCATCGTGCCGTCCCTGATGGCCGCCTGCCTGCGCAAGGAAGGACGATGGATGGAAGGAGAAGGGACGAACGAATGATAAGAATAGAAGGAACATGAGGTCGGTCTCTCCTTCCATTTGAGCTTGGTAGGTTTTTCATCTAGATATTCATCCAGAGATATTCAGCCAGAATACCTCACCTAGTACCTACCTCAAGGCAGACGACATACCGCCCTCAACTCCCGTCCAATCTCCCGGGCCTTTTATTCTTATTGCTCACATCTCAAGCTTTATTATTTGTCCCTTGCTGGGTTCGTTCGGCCTTCCTGTGTCCGTCCGTGTCTTTCCTCTCCTCCGCCCTCCGACTCTCTCCCCACGTTCCCGGCCTCGCCTCGTCTCGCCTCGTCTCGACCCGGTGTGTGCAACAAAGCTTCCTTGCTTTTTTGCTCGTGGTCTCTGCTTTCAGCCAGACTCCGACCGTTGCACATTTCTTTTCCCCAATTCCTTCTATTTTTTGCTTTCTCCGTCTGCAGAGGCACGATATCTGCCGGATCGTGCAGAAGAGTACCGGATTCCCTCCTCCGACTGGCCCTGCATCAAAAGAGTCGTCATCGCATCACCCGTTGAATCCCACGACGCCGTCACTTCTCACTGGCGGCTGTCCGTCTCAAAGCCTCAACATCAGACTCCCTGCGCTGCACTGCGACGTCGTCGATACACACGGCAACAGCGGTTAAGCCTTCCGAGGCCAAGCTCAAGACCGACGCAACTTGTCTCTGGCCCCCAATTGGCCGTCGTCAGCCTGCCGCCGCGCTGGTGTGTTGCTTTTTGCAGCGCCCTGTGTCCCCAGCACCAAGCACAGCAAGTGCCTTGAGAGGGCCGCATATTGATCGTCAATTTCCACCGGCTGCAAACATTGGACGCCTCTTAGATCCCGTCCTGCTAGCCCAGAGCAGATCCGGTTGACCCTCGGACGCTTTTTATCGCCGTCATTCCCGCTGCCAGCTTGACAACCTCCAGGCTTAAACCATTGCATCTTCTACTGCGCGACTCGAAGCAACAGCTTCTTCCATCGCATACTTCGTCCATACGTCGTCTCTCCAAACGAGAGCGAGAAAACGAGCGGCATCCCTCCCCTCAGAACCGTACGTGTATCCATCTTTTCTCCTCCGAACCCTCATCTCTTGCTCCGAGAGATCGTCGCCGTGCATTCTGCATTCTGCGCGTATTCTGCCCAGAGCACTCAACGCCTGCATGGATAGCCTCGATCTCAAGGTCCTCCATCTCTGGGTCTAAAAATGGCCGGTGCATATTTCAGACGGAGGAGCAGAAGGATGCCCCATGGAGCTGGTGCCGGCTTTTCCAAATTGGCGATGGGCGGCCATGGACGTGCACAAAATGCATATACACCTATCCCACGGTGTTAAAGGTTAGCGTAGTACTTGCGGGGCTTCGTTATATGGAAAGCCCCGCAAGAACCGCACTAACCTTTAAGACCGTGGGATAGGTGTACGCGCATACAAGACCTACTCAATGACATACACACATATTGCCCAAACACACATGTCTTTTTTTATTCACTCCCACCCCATCCCATCATCCTTCCATCTTTCCGGTGTCGCGCTTGATTGCCTGTGTCCGGCGTGCGGCGCGGCGCAGTGGGAATGGCTCAAAGTGGCTCGACATTTTTTCGAGGCTAACCAAGCCAGAAGCAGTTCGCCCACTCCCAGCGGTCACCCTTGATCCAGATCGACGTCGGCCAGAACTCTAACACCAATAAGGGAATCTGTTCCTGAGTCTGAACACCAGAGCCCCGGCTCCTCCCCCAGCAGCACCCCTCCTCCGTCGACGGGAGGGTCACCTCAAGTCGGTCGACATTTTCTCAGAGTCTCTTCCCGACAGGCCAAGGTACAGGCCTCACACAGCCCAGGCCACCACCGGCGACAGGCGCCGCCCTAAGCCCACCCCCAGTGCCCTGTCCTGTCCGGTCCACTGGTCCAGTCCTCCTGTCTTGCCTTGCCCATCCATCTCAGTGGAGGGCCAGCCCGGGTTGACTGATTGCTGGCTGCTTGCTGCTTGCCGCTGCTGCATCCCTCCTAGCGCATTCAGACCGTCGCCTACAGGGCCGCAGCTGTCCTGTCCCGACTCCAGCAGTTGTCCACCCGCTGGAATTGTTCCCCGCAAGTCGAACCAACCGGCCGTCCGTCTCTCTTTCATATTAAACCACTCCCGGCGAACCTCGACTTCCTATCTTCCGTCTTTTCTTTCCCCTTTGCCCTCCTTGCGTCTTCGACCTCAAAGCCACTCCCTAATCATCATCTATTCGTTGTGGAAAAGGTCAGCAACCCGATTGCGTCATCCTCCGCCTCTCCGATACCCCGGTCACGACCGCCGTCGCACGTCTTGACCACTGATCGCCCGCGAGCGTCGCATCGCTGTCGACCCGACTCGACTCAGCAGCACTTCGACCCCTCCAGCAGAACCCCACTGGACCGCCAATTCATCGATTTGCCATCCCCCTAAACCGCCAAAATGGGCCTGTTTTCGAGGAAGGAAAAGGCCCCCAAAGGCTCCAAGCCCTCTATCAACACCTCGAGTGTTAGCATCAACTCGGGCGCCTCCAGCATCAAGTCACCACCGCCCCGCAGCATTACTATGAACAGAACTTCCGCTGGCAGCACCACTCCCGGCACTCCATTGACGCCGTTTTCACCACTCCCGATACCAAAGGTCGACCTGCCGCGCCCACCCGACCCCCAGCTGGACCCTGCGGGCTACCTGAGAAGTCTGGGAGCCGTCAGAGAGAGGAGCAAGATCGTCACCGAAAAGGCATTGCGTAATGAGCTGAAGCATTTTGACGTGGACATGCGCAAGTTCGCCGACGTTGTGTCGTTTGTCTCTCAGATCATCAAGGTAGGGTTCGACCAAGTCCTCCTCCAACCTTGCCGCAGCTCGCGCTGCTCGCGTGATCGAGCGGCTCGCCGGCTGCAACACCCGTCCCCTGTAATCTTCGCCGAATGGTAGTGTACTGACCTGATGATCCACCACAGAGAGATTACGATGCACCATTCAACACGATTCCCGGCCACGGACGACACCAGCATTTCTGCATCGGAGGCCGAGACCGAATTGCACAGCTCCTTTCCACCTTCCCCGAGGACGTCGACAATAGCGAAAAATGCCGCCGCATGATCGACCTCTTCTTGGTCAGTGTACTGCTGGATGCCGGTGCGGGTACCAAGTGGAGCTACAAGAGCACGGAAAATGGCCGCATTTACCGCAGGTCAGAAGGCATTGCCGTGGCAAGCTTGGAGATGTTCAAGACGGTGCGTTTTCCAGTGTATGCGTGATTCCTACGGCTGCTGATGGTGGTACAGGGTGCCTTCTCCAGCGATCCCAAAAACAAGTTCCAGGTCGACAAGGATGCTCTGCGCAACTTGACGGTAGAAAAGGTGGCTGCTGGCCTGCAGTCTAAGCCAGGCAATGAAATGGCGGGCGTCGAGGGCAGGACAAATCTTCTCGTGAGGCTAGCAACCGCTCTGACTGAGAAGCGAGAGTACTTTGGAGACAATGGCCGGCCAGGTAACATGGTTGGTATGTTGCAGCCCGGCATTGAAGACCCTCTCCGCTCTGGCCACAGCTAACGCGTCTTAGACTACTTGCTGGCACACCCTTCAACGCAAGCGTCGTCTACACCAATCGTCATCATTCCCACTCTGTGGAACGTCCTCATGAACGGCCTGGCACCAATCTGGCCCCAGTCGCGGACCGCTATCAACGGCGTGTCTCTCGGCGATGCCTGGCCCTGCCACTCCATGCCGCAACCACCGCAAAGCCCGACGACTTCACAGTTTTCACCGTTCCCCCCTTCGGCCCAGAACTCGACCGCAGCGTGGGAGTCGATTCTTCCGTTTCACAAGCTCACGCAATGGCTCTGCTACAGCCTGATGCAACCGATGCAGACCTTGCTCCGCATCCAGTTCGCAGGCGTTGAGCTACTGACCGGTCTTCCTGAATACCGCAACGGCGGTCTCTTTATCGACCTCGGTGTTCTTACGCTGAAGGCCGACGATACAGAGAGGGGCCTTCAACACTACGACGAGTACTGCCGCAGGACAAATGTCAAGCCTGTAGAGGTTGCGCCTATGTTCGAGCCAAGCGACGACGTTATTGTGGAGTGGCGCGGCATCACAGTGGGCTTTTTGGACAGGCTCTGTGTAGAGGTCAACAAGCACCTTAGGAACGAGCTCAATGGCCACGAGCTTACGCTCGCCCAACTGCTCGAGGCAGGCAGCTGGAAGGTAAGCTAACAACCGCACCGACGGAATACATGGCACAGACTAACACGTTACAGGGCGGCCGCGAAATGGCCGAGTTCAGCCGACCGAACACGAAGGAACCCCCAATCCTGATCGATAGCGACGGAACTGTTTTCTAATCGGAACCCTGCTGTATGCTTTTTCTGGGAGGACGCATTGTATCGGACACTATACCTCTGTTTGCGCCGTTGGTTAGACGAAAAACACTTTGGGCATTGAATCCGGGGACGGGGCATGGCAGTGGATGAAGGGCACTTTTGGATGACGGGGTTTGGGTGGCGGCTTACATCGCCTTAATGAACATGACTTGGGCCAACAATGGCGAGAAGGATTAATGGAACGCGAAGAGGTTGAGGCTCCGAACCTCCTCTATTCACCTACACGAACTTCACGACTGTGACAGAGCTCATGTGTTTTCGGCTGCTTTGCATCTGTAATGCGCCCACGGACGGCCCGGTTCGGCCCCGCGTCGGTGGGGTGGACCCCGCGTGTCCGGATATCGCTCACGTGCTTCCTTCGCAGTTCTGCGTGCCTCCAGAAACGGCCTTGCGACGTCAGACTCCCACCCGGAGTTGCTGAGCTCTATCAACGAGGCAGCACGCATCGCGTCGACAACCCCTGCTTGTTCATCCTTGCCGCCACGCGAGCTGGAATCTTTGTCAACCCAGGATCGGAGACGACTCCGTTCGTCTGTCTTATCGATAAGCGCCCTCGAAAATTCCGACCCCGCGACCTTGTGAAGATTCTTGAACTTCCTTTCGGTTCTTACTGCCAGAGCTGCGAAGCGGAAAAAAATTCTATGGAAACTCAATTCATTTGTCCTTAGAAGCGAGACTCAGTCCAGCCGGGTTTTGATCTCACGAGCGGACACGTTGACTCTTGACCAAGACCCTTGCCCCTCCATCAATTTTTGGGCCCCCGTGCCGTACAACGTCGAACCGGCTCAGGCGGACGTCTCACCACATCCCGTCTTTGTCGAAGTCCATCACACACAACACCAGCTCTCAGCACTCACAACAAATTCGTCCGCACACACGAGGACGGGGCAGAAGTAAAGCTACCAAAATGGCTATCCTGCCATCCTCCGCGCCGGACCCGGCCCTCCCCTTGCTCACGCAATGCACCCACATCCTCAAAAACATCACCACCCTCCTCAGCGAACTCGACGCGCTCAAGGACGCGCTCACACGCCGCCCGTCCCCGACGACGACGACCAAGCCGCTGGCGTGGAACCAGGCCGTCCCCGGCCTGGGCCCGTTTGAGCGGCTTGTTGTTTCGGAGAAGAAGCATCTCGAGAGGATGGTGGCTGCCTACACCCCGGAACTCGGGGAAGAGGAGTTGGAGGCGCTGGATCGGAACACGCGGTTGAGGCTGGACGCGAGTAATTACAAGTTTTATGAGAGTGTGTGGGAGGTGGCGAAGAGGTGTTGTGATTTGGCGGGGATGAGGCGAGAGCTTGCGGTGAAGAAGGATGGGAAGAAGGGAAAGGGGAAGGGGGTTGGCGCGGTGGTGGATTTGGTGGTTAAGGGAGGGACGGAATGGGTGAAGGTTGTGACTACGACGGAGAGGAGGCTGTTTTATGAGATGGCGGATGCGGGGTGGGACTGGGACGAGGAGGAGCAGGAGGAGATGCTGGAGGTGCTGAAGGAGGAGGGCGAGGGCAGCGTGGAAGTCGCGCGGGTGGCGCGGTGCATGATCGCTGCGGCACGGGGGAGCTTTGAAGGGTACCGCCGGCCGCGGTGCGTGATTCTCATGAGCCGGATCGAGGAGGGCCGGAACGCGCACGTGGATCGGTTGCTTTCTCTCGTGCGACGGCTCGGAGAGGGGACCGGGGTGGAGCTGGTCGTTGAGACGGCGAACGCGGGGATCCTGGCGCGGCCGACGCCAAGTTTGGGGGACGCCATCCGGAATTTGGTGCAGGCGGACCCGTTTGAGGGCTTCACGGACACGCTGAACGTGGACTGCTCTGTGTTCATGGCGCTGGCGAGCGACTGTAGCCATTTGAAGATTGGGCCGGAGAGTCCGCTGTTGCGGGGCGCGCAGCACCGGCTCGACGCGGCGGATGAAGTGGAGAACGGGCCGCGGCTGGTGACGACGATGTATCCCGCCCTCGGGCCGCGGCGGCTGGTCACGACACAGGAGGCGGCGGATACGTTTTTGCGGATTCTGGGGGAGATTGGGACGGAGACGGAGAAGGCTCGGACGAGGATCTTGTTCGAGCCGTTAGGGGAGGGTGAAGGCAGCAGGGAGAGGGTGAGGAAGTTGCAGACGTTGTCGGAGCACCCCGTCCCCGAAGATCTGCAGCTGCCTGTCGAGGTCGTGCCGGGCGTGAGCTGGGAGGAGGCGCGGGGGCTGGTGGAGGAGGGGGCGCTGCCGAGGGTCGCGCTGGCGGTGGGGAGGAAGGGCAGCGGGCTGGACGCGATGGGGGTGAGTTCGTTTCTGTACGGGTGGAGGGAGGGGATCACGACGGTGACGGGGAATTGGGAGGCTGTGAAAAGGTTGAGGGCTGCGATCGAGGCTGGGTTTGCGGAGGCGGGTGGGGAGGAGGGGGGTGGTGTCGGGGACGGGCCGAGGGTGTGGAGGATCCCGTTTTCGAGGAAGTTGTTGGCGAAGCCGCGGCCGAGGGGTGTTGGTGGTGAGGCTGAAGAGGAGGATGGCGGGGGGAGGAAGTTGAAGACAAGGGTTGAGAAGAAGGTTGAGAAGGAGAGGAGTTTGGAGAGTTGGATTGGGGAGGTGAGGTTGGAGGAGTGAGGTGGTGGGAATGATACCCGGTCAAGCTTTTCTACGATTTCGAAGTTATAACAAATATCACTTTAAGACTACATGATAAGTAATTGCTTTGGCCCCTTAACTAATGCTGTTGAAATGGAAAAGTCAAGTGTCAACACCCCACTCTCCCAGCCCGCCCAACTTGCTATATCACAACACCGCAATCCGGATACTTAACCCTCACCTCCGTCGTAAACACCTCCGCCTCCGTCTCATTCCTCCGCCCCAGCAACGTCTCCTCGCAGTGCAGCGTATGATGATACCCCCAGATATAGCTGTCCACCCTGCCCAGCCCGCCGCCGCCCTGCATCAGCGCGCGGTGCATCCGCCGCCACATGGCCGTGCAGTGCCGCAGGTGGTACGCCAGGCTCACGTACACGCCCGTATACTCCCCCGTCATGATCTGGTCTCGTGTGAGGGGCGCGGTGCGGTTCATGTCGCGGTACCAGGCCAGCTCGCCGGCGGCGCGGAGCTCGGCCTCGAAGGCGGATGCGAGGGCGGCGTCGTGGCAGGCGGGCGGGAGCCAGTTGAAGGAGATGAGGTCGAAGAGGCAGCCGGCGGCGCGCGCGGCGGAGGGGGTGGCGCCGCAGGGGAAGGGGAGGAGGTAGGTTGTGTTGAGGTCGGAGGGGGAGGGGGAGGCGAGGGTGTTGGCGTTGCGGGTGGAGGGAGTTGATGGGGAAGGGGAGAGGAGGGTTTGGAGGGCGATGGTGGAGGAGATGCCGAAGAGGAGGGAGGTGGTTATTGTTAGGAGGAGGATGGGAAGGGAGAGGGTGTATCGGCGGCGGGGGTTGGAGGGTGGTAGTTGATCTCGGCGGTTCAAGAGGGATGTTGAAGTGTCGTCGGCGTGTGGCGGGGAGAGGTTGAGGTCGAGGTCGAAGTTTTCATCGTCGGAGTCTTGCGGGGACGATATGTGCTTTTCGTAAACATCTGTTCGTGAATGAGGCTCTTGGTTGTGCGCCATTGCGGCTGCCTCTTGAACTGTTGATGGCTGTTTGCGAAATTACTCAAGAAGCATCGTAGAAGTGACGTTGGAACGATCTTGAATCTGAAGTAAGCTACTAGAAGACCGAAGGATTCGACTCCACTTCCAGTCAATCAATGAAAGGCGTGATCTTGGTGAGATTCTAACGACCTTCCTTTCTTGTCGATAGCTACAAAACTCCGAATCCTTCGACGCAAAGTGTCAGTGCATGCTAATAGCGAGGGGCCACTTAGTAACAGTGGATAGTATCATGGCCGACGGGTATAGGTGCTCTATTTTCGTGAAGTTGACTGAAAGTCTCTCTACTGCTGCCACTACTGAAACACTATAGTTATACACTCTGCGCAGAGGGTAAAGGTACACTTGAGTCATGTCGATGGCGCAGATGGAAAAGGATGGCGGTTTTATGCAAGCCAGGTGGGAATAGGTAGTGGAGGAGGGCGAGGAAGAAACCACGTAGTCACAATACATTGATAAAATCAGCACAAGTCAACTTAGTAGCGACATTATCTCTACTTCATTGGAAAGTTACTACAAATGATAAGAGACCCTCAATCAAAGTATCTTCGGCCCCCCCCCCCCCCTCCTCTCTCACCTCTCAAAATGGTGAGCAGGCTCGGCCAGCACCAATTGTCTACAGGAGCCCCGGCCTGGTTGCTATTCCAATACGGGGGCTATGTAAGAGAGCCTGGTAGCGTGAAAGTGCTTGCAGTGAAATATCTTACACAATGGTGAGACGTTTGCGTTTATTACCTGACCAAGAAAATCTCCGAGAAGAGCTAATACCATAGAACAGGTCAATCATGCCGACCCGGCGGTATGTAGACCTCTTTGAGTCTAACGGCTCGAGGAGTAGTCCGGAAGTTGAAGTACCCAAATGTGGGGACCACTCTGGCATGTTGTCTGTATGTAAGATCAGACACTCGATATTACTCTCGGCTATTATTTGGAAGTCGTTTCGGTCTTCGGTTTCACGATCCCAGTAAAATACTGTTGAGGTGGGCTTGCTGAATGATCTCAAAACTACGTCCCCGCTGCTAGTGTCGATGGTAGAACTTGGTCCGCATATCTCAAGTTGTCCATATTTGACATTGCCGAATGGATCGAGAGCGCTTGAAGGCAGGCAGATCACACCAATCACTGAAGAGTGAAATTGCTGACCCTGGCTCCTCTTAAACTCTACTCCGCTGCCGACTGAGGCCCAAGACCAAGATGGAGTGTACCACGGCAATTCAGTAGACTGCTCAGGCTCAGATATTGGATCGGGTTTGCCATGCGTAACGGGAGCGTCCCCCACAGAGTCTTGTTCTATCCTGTACCACGCCAGACTAGGAGGCAGCTCGTTGTCCCATACCCCGGCCACATACG